TTATTAGTCTATTAAATATCTCAAGCGTTTGCAAACTATTCTGATGGAAGTTATTCGACTTTCTGCAAAACTCGTCGAAATATGCATTTTCGGTTAAAATTCCTTCAAGAAACAATCAGATTTCGTTCGACCCGCGAAAAATTCTTCGTTCCCGCTGGAATTTCGTACTATTGGTTAATGAGTTAAATAGAAACTTATTCAAAATAATCTTTTATTAAAACGGCTCGGAAGGACGTCTGTGCTGTAAGAAATTCGCTCTTGAAGTGCATACTTGTAGGTATGCGATTAGTCACACCTAAAATTCTTATGAACCCTCAAATGGAAGTGGAATATAATTATTCAATGCGATCGAACTGGCATTTCTTAGATTCCAGTGCATTATGCGTCTGAAACTTCGAACAGTTCAGCTATTATCTTCTTCGGATCATGTAACAATTATGAATACTCCGCTTTATAAAGCAGTGGAACAATTGATTGAATAATGTACGCGATTAACCTGCGCTCTCGTTGATATATAACATGCAAAGAATGCAGCGACTTTCAACCCATTAAGAAAAACATTTTTGGTACTGATGTTTTTTTTTATTGTAGGAGACATGAAAAATACATCACTACTCAAAATGCTTATCTGGACATTTCATTCTTGTATCAAACGAATTGTGTTTCATGGTAAAAAAAGTGCAGTTCAAAATTTAATTCGGAAGAATGTTAAACTTGCGAAGGAATGTCTGCCAGCTTAGAATATAACGAATTTTCTGTTTCCCTCTTACTATTTACTAATAAGGTATTTAACTGGTAGGAATTACTTAAACTCATTTGACGACGTTACAGTTTCTTTTATTATTTCTTTGCTGTACATACTTTCATCGACAGGTTATAAAAATATTTACTTACATTCTATGCGCATTGAAACATTCGTATCGAATAGAAAATAGCGAACTCTATTAGTATGCTATGGGCACTATGTAGATATTTCTGTCACGTTTGAAGACGTTTATGATACATTAATTTAAAAAAAATGTCTGTCATCTGCATTCTTACGCTATTCTCGTCCGTACGGTATTAAAAGAACTATACAGGGTGTCTCAAGACTAGTGTAAGATATTGAAATGGGAGGTTCCTGACGTAATTTTAAACAATATTTTCCTTAGCGAAAAAGTTGTCCGAGCCGTGGTGAAAGAGTTATTAACAAAAAAGGCCGACCAATCAGAGCGCTCGGTTGACGCGAGCTACGAATCGGGAGCGTTGACTCGGATCCGGACGCCCGGCTTATCAACAATCTATCATTTCCCCATACATTCCATTTGAATAACGATTAAATTGTTATTAATATTTACGAATATTAATTGTTATTAATTTCCTTGCATTGTTATTCATGTAGTTTATTATTCGTCATTTTCTTAACACGCTTCTTATTGAGCGGAGCGGTTCGACGTTCGGATTCGAGCCAACGCTACCGATTCGCAGCTTGCGCTCTGATTGATCCAAGTTTCTTGTTAATAACTCCTTAACCACACCTCGGACAACTTTTTCATTAAGGAAAATGTTGTTTAAAATTACGTCACGAACCTCCCATTTCAATATCTTAGACTAGTTTTGGGACACCCTGTATATTATGCTACAATATCTGCAGTTCTAATTTAATTGAGATGAACATTGAAATGAATGGTATTTGTGAAAGAATGTCTGCTAGCTTAAAATATAAAGAAACTTCTGTTTCACTCTTAATTAATTGCCGTGGAGTATTTAATTATGAGTAATTTAAGCGCATTTTACAATGTCGCAGTTTCTTTCATTATTTCATTGTTGCACATACTTTCATCGAGAGGATATAAAAATATTTATTTACACTGTCTATTCATTTTTTATGAAACCTATTGGCTTACTCGAAGCCCTACGTATTTCTGTCGCCGTTTTACGATTCGCTTTAGTACATTCTTGGTGTATTAATTCTAAATCTCTTAATGCATCCATTGGCTCGTTCCTATTTCATTAAAATTACGCTCTGGTGCGTCTATTTTATCAAAACTACGTTTTAATGCTTCTATTTTATTAAAACTCCCCTTTAGTACGATCGAAACGAAGATATGACGAGCTGGCACTATCACCTCCGTTATCGGGGCTATCGAATAAATTACTGTTAGCGTCCAACCACTCATCTACAGTTGACTTGTAGTTCTGAATCCATATCACGTTCTTTATCGCCTTTGCCATGGCGAACTCCGGCAGTTCCTCCACTCTTCTATCCAGCAAAAATGCGTTTAACTGAAATCAAATGAACAATTCTATACATTTCGATTTCAATTCCAAAATTCTTTGGTAATTGCAAAGTGACGGATGTTTAAGTCTGGCCTCTATCATCACAGGATCACTTGTATAGTATAATTGGAGCATATAGCGAGGGCGTAAAATTTGTTAGAATGCTGAAATTGGCATCCTTGTAAAGGGGTACACTCCGAAGCGGTACGACATAATGTTAGTCAAAAACGTTAATGTTAACCACAAAATTTCATTTATTTTATTAATCCAAAGATGAAACTTTATATAAATTACTGTATCAATTACTGCATTAACTAAACTCTAAACTGTAACTACTTGGCTACAACCTTGCAATGCCTGTGCCTCCAATTCTATACATAGAGTGGTCTACCTCAGTCTAGCAAACTAAATATCTTCTCCATTTGAGATGGCAGAAACACTATTCTTCATGCAATGTAAATTGTATTAAAATATGAATTGTTTGCAAAATCTTGTTTTTCTGAATTTCTAACGTCACCAATATAATTATTATTGAATGCGTTATATATTTTGTTTCGAAGCTTAAAACGACCTCGCTGCTAAGAGTCAGTAATATCGGTGAAAATGATTTTCAGTTTCTAATTTTAATTTCACAATTCAAATTTTTGAAATCATAGGCCAGTTGGAGGTCCTATTACTAATACACGTTTAAACGCGTTTCAAGTCTAATATTAGGAGAACAAGTATACAAGAAAAGAGTATCAATGACGGTAGAAACTTAGAACAAAATGACATTGAGAAAAGAAAATCTTGCAGCATTCATTTTTTGGTAGCATTTATATAGCATAAGAAATATTGTTTCTATCATTGCAAATGAAGGACATATTGACGTTTTCATATTTACATGAACTATCATGATATATGTATCAGACACAAGAACATGTAACGAGATCCGTTTTTAGAAAGATCGGCTATAAAATCAAACTTACATTAAAATGTTGCTGTCCGCTCGTAATTGTTTCACTTATCGCTTCAGCGAGTTCTGCTATTACGATTTTGGAATTGGGTCTGAAATCACGAAGTGAAGAAATTACATCAGTTATATTAAATATACACATACACACTTATGCCGTTATCATTTATCATTGTTTTCATTTCTCTTTTAAGGTTGTATGAATCCTTAAGTAACGATTAGCATTCACATTTTAAGAATCATTAAGTGTTACATTAATAGAACACTATAAAATTTAAGAAATTATACGAGTCTATTAAAAATGTTGTCACATATTGAATTCTTATCTTGAATGGAAAGATTTTGATTTCATTCATGAACAAATATAAATGCAGTAATGAGAGAATGTTGCAATTTTCTACAATTGTTAATACGTCTTTTGAAAATATTTTAAACTTGAAATAATATGACCTTCGATATTATTTAAGATGGATCTTAAAATTAAGCAATAGTAGAAATTGTAGGACTTATAAACGCCGTAAACAGCTCCAAGTCAAGTCCAATTGTATCAAAAAGTGTCAAAGTCATATATTGTACATAAAAAGTTGCTTGACTTGAAAAAACGACAATTCTGTAAACCTAAAAATATATCGGTTCACATATTGGGCATAGCTTCTTATCAAGTTTTTAAACTTTTGTCTCACACAACCTTACGTAAACGTAACAATGACCACGGTGAAAAGATAGAAAGGTACGAAGTTAGTTACAATTTCTCGATGCGTTCGTATTCTTTGAGCAGGAAATTGAAAACCAGCTGGGAACCGGCCGGATATCTGGACACCACGTTTTTCGCAACGGTCTTGAAATCAATCGGGTAATTGGAATCAAGAGTTAAGTTTAGGTATTTCGTCAGAATGTGAGACGAGTTGGAACAGGCTAGAGCCACCAGCTGATTCTTCCTATCGTCCTCATCGGTCGTAGATGCAGTTATGTACCCCAGAGTATCAGTCCACGCGCTCTCGTTCGCGTTCCTGACCCCAGCGCAGAGAATTTCTGTCTTCAGGTTAACGTCCAATCTGTGCACAAGATTGTGGTATGAATTTGTTGAAGAAACTTATTTATCGAAACATATGCAACATTAATTGCCTGGCACATCGTTGTCTCTAGACTGCGGATTTAATACATTTATGATGAAATTGAATGTACAGAAAAGAAACACACTAGAAAAATACTTTATTTATTATGTATAATTATTTTGTTTTACAGTTAAATATATCTTATGACATGTTGGACTATAGAGGGTATCTCCGGATTAAGTTCTGTGAGTAACAATAAGAACGAAATGTGATATAAACATTGGCTTGCAAATACTCTATAAAAAAGTTATGATAAAAAATTAAACTACAGTCATTTTCAATATTCATAAAATCTGCTCGTTCTAGCAGTGTATTGTATATATATGTATAATGTATATGTATATGTATGTATTATTCATCATATTGTAGAAAATGGAAAGATTTGAAGAGCAAAGCGAAAAAACCATAGAATAAAGAGTATCTGGACAGAAGAAAGCAACCGTGAGTTTGAAAAGGAGCTAGACAAATTACATTTTAATAAGACAAGTATTGATGACATGATGGAAGAATTAACAGATAATATAAATAAAGCAGTGCAGAGAAAAGAAATTCGAATAAATAAATGGAGAATAGGAAGCTTTAAATGGTGGAATGCAGAATGTACATACATATAAGAAAAGGGAGGCGAGAAGAGGCAGAAAAAATGGAAGAAAGGAAATGGTGACAAAGAGAATTATCAGGAAAAAAGAAGAGAATTCAAAAAATTATGTGAAGAAAGAAAAAGAGAACTAATGGATAACATGGAAAAAGAAATAAGTTAGATAAAAGACGAGAATCAAATTTGGGATTTCATAAATAAGGAAAGGAAAAAGAGAATGGGAATCACAGAACAAATAGGAATGAACGAATGGAAAAAATACTTTAAAGAGTTTTTGGAAGGGGAAGATGATTATCACAAAATAGAAAAAGAGGAGAAAGATACCGAAATTGGTGAAGAGGAGGAAATAACAGAACTAGAAGTAAGAAATCAAATAAAGAGATTGAAAAAGGAAAAAGCAGCTGGAGAGGATAGAATTGAAAACGAAGCCTGGATTTATGGAAACACAAAAATAATAAGGTTAACAGAAATTCTCAATGAGGTATGGAAAGGTAAAGTGTTTCCAGAGAGATGGAAAGAAGGGATGATTCACCCATTTTCAAGAAAGGCGATAGAGAGAAAATAAGCAACTATCGAGGAATAACAATTCTCAATAATGCATATAAGATATACGCAATGATATTAGAAAAACGACTGAAGGAAGAATTAGAACGGAAGCAGATAATCCCTGATACCCAAGCAGGTTTTAGAAGCGGCAGATCAGCAATAGATAACATCTTCATTCTAAATTACTTAGCAAACAGGCAATTGCAAACAAAAGGAGGGAAACTGTACACATGCTTTATAGATTTGAGCGCAGCCTTCGACAAAATAAATAGAGAAAAATTAAAGAAAATTATAGAAAAACAAGGAATCAGTAGAAGGCTAAGAATAAGAATTGGAGAAATTTATGAAGAAACAAGGAACATAGTAAAAATTAATGGACGAACGTTAACAAAATTCTGGACAACAAAGGGAGTAAGACAAGGATGTCCTTTCAGTCCGACGCTTTTTAATCTTGATACATATGTATAGCGGACCTAGAGGAGACAATGAGAAAGAACCAAGCGGGAGGAACAGTAATAGGGAGAGAAAAATTTGGACCTTAGCATATGCGGACGACATTGCGTTATTAGCAAAAAATCCAGAAGACCTGAAAGATATATTAAAGAGGATTTCAAAATACTTCGACGACAAAAAACTACAGCTGAATAAGAATAAAACCAAAATCATGATATTCCATAAAGAGAGGGGGAAGAAGAAGAAAGAAGAGTATCAAGGACAAAAACTAGAAGTAGTGAAGGAGTTTAAATACTTAGGATATCATTTCCAGAAAAATGGAAGCAGCGAAGCACATATAAAAGAAAGAACGAGGAAAGCAAGAATAGCCATGGCACAGGTATGGGGAATAGGACAGAGGAAATTTAGAAACAACTATGAGAGACGAATGAAGATATTTAACAGCCTAGTCAAAAGTATTTTATTCTCCTCCGCAGAGATATGGGGATGGATGGAGGCGGAGAAAATGGAAAAGCTGCAGGAAAAATATATACGCTGGACTTTAGGTCTTGATTTTAATACATCCGCATATCTTATATTGGAAGAACCGAAAAAAGATAAAATAAAAATAGAGGCGGGAAGAAGGGCAATAAGATACGAGGAGAAAACAAGAAGTCTGAGCAGAAACACAATTCTGAGGGAATGTTGGCAAGAGATTGATAGGAAACAAGAAAACAAGAAGTAAGAAATGGGAAAAAATGAGTGATTCGTATTACATCAACAAAGGAATAGAGTATTAGAATAGGAAAGAAGAAGAGGTAAAAAATATGAGGAATTTCTGATAGAAATAGACAGAGCGGATCAGCTGCAATGGCAATACGATAAAATAATAAAAAGCAGATACAATAAACACTACCGAGAAATTAGGGATGGAGAGGTGGCAAGTTATTTATGTAAATCTTACGAAAGCAGAGATCAAAGCATGATTGCAAGATTCAGATGCGGGAACGAGGAACTAAATAATAAGTATTGGATGAAGGAGAATGAAAGAGTCTGTAGATTATGTAAAGAGCAGCCAGAGACTCTAAGTCATATGTTACGAGAATGTAAGGAGATGGAAAGAGAAAACAAGGAAGTGAGAGGAATACTGAAAGGAGACAAAGATGGCACAGCGTGAATGCGGAAGGTTCTAGAAAAAAGGAAGAAAAAGAAAGACAATATTTAAATATATATACAACAAACACTTCTAACCCCCATTTTAAGGCCGAAAGGCAAAAACTACAACTATTTACTACTATTCATCATATTGTACATATGTATATGAATTATATATAATATTCTACCAATATTTGAAATATTTGATATCAAGCTTTATTGCATTGAAGAGAAGCCTGTTTCCATTTCAAAGTGCCGGCTTCCGTTACGAATACAAACTTGACATCTTGGGGAAATTGAATTTATCAACCTCCGAATTTCATTTTTATCTCACTTCAGTTCAGTGATAGTGAACACACTGGTACAGTTTGATCATTTAATTCGGGGACACCCTATATAGGACAGCTACTGTACGTGATTTTGTTGTGAATACTTAAGTCATTTTCAGATTTTTGCTATCATACGAACAAACGCTTACTCATTATATGATAACAATATTTTGTACAAAAATCTACAGTCTAATATCGTTTCATTTATAAAAGAAAGAGCATATAGAATTATCAATTAATAAAAGAAAATGTCGACTTACTTCATCTGAGGATTCTTGAGCCATTCTTGATATGTTTTCTCAGCATAGGATGTGCAATCCTCGATGCCAACTTCGCAGGCCCATCTCATTGCGTCCACTCTGAGCATTTTGACGAGATCGCTGTCATTCGCCTTCGGTTCATAGCCAACGTTCTTCGTCAAAGCCTTCATCAGATATGCCACGTAACGCTGCAAAATTCAGTATTTGTTGATCAATAGAGGTGTTATCTCTATCATATTGTATCATAATTTGTATTAAACTCGTGTAAACTATCTTACAGTGTACCGTAGACAAATGAGAAAACGCCCAACACGTTAAGTATAAAAATTTTGCAGCAACTACATTTTACATAGAATTACATATCTCGGTTGCAACGAGGATTGCAGATTTTCTAAATGCCGCATTATCAATCAATGTTTAAAAATTTTAATCATCAATTTGAATTTCTTTGAATTATGAATTAAAATTTAATCTTTTTACCTTGAAAGTGTAATATTTGTTGGAGGTGCGTAACAAGTTCTGCAGGAATCCCAAGTGCCTGAACGCCGGTTGCCAGGGTATGTAATCGGTCTCGTGTGTTAAGTAGAGTGTCACGTTCAGTGCGAGCGTGTAGTTCAAACTTTCAGTACGAGCTAAGTTGAACGCGTCGTCGATCATCTGCGCACGGTTCACCGGGTGTATTTTTGTATTGTTCCCCTTGTTCAGCTCTTTTATCAACAGTTTCCAATTCTCTATTTCATAGTTCACGCGATAGTAACCTGACAGAGAATACAAAATTTCGTTCATTATATCTGCTATCCTCTGCCCTTCGAGAATAACGATTCTTTCTATGAAATGAATTCTTAAGTTATCTCTTCTGCATGGATCAGTGAGAGTAGTAAAATGAAATGCGAATATATTCATTATCCAATATTAAACTAGTAATTCTAAGTCGCTGAAGCTCAATGAAATAAAATAAATATAACATAAAATAAATATAACGTGCAATTTTTTTTGCAATAACCACTACGTGATTCACGTGTGTCACGTCAAAAACGAATCCGAAATGTTCTATCTATATTTTTGAAAAATAGTGGTTTTTGTAAAAGTACATGATTTTCGGGAAAGTTGAGGGTAACGATAAGGGAAAGTCGAGAATTCATTTTTTAATGGAGAGATAGAAGAAGTTTTTCATAATACTGGATGAGTGACGACTTCGAATAACTCGTAAGATATTTCTTGTATGATAAAAATGTTTAAACAAACGATGGCTTCAAGGGAACATGTAATGCTGTGATCTATTTTTGTTTCTTTGATTCTTTATCAAGGGGCATCTATAGTTATTAAGCGCACTATTTCTTCGCGAATTTCAATAAAGCACCAAACTCTGTGTACTAAGTACTATGTAATCTGAAAGATAAGTATTACATCTGAGTAAATAAGTATATCATGAGAAACTGATCACATAATGTTTCCTGAAATTATTAATTTGAGAATATTTTTCGTTTTAGCTATAATTGGTGTAACTCTTTTTTTTCATAACTTAATCACAGTATACTGATATTTATGAATATGAGCGTTACGAAAAATTGTAGTTATAATGTCTTTGTTTTCAAGCAATTTTATGTCCAAAAGAGATTGTATTGCACGAAATCAAAGCCAGAGTACGCCAGACTTAACTTTCGTCTTTTCAAAGAGGTACTCGCCAATCGAAAAATTTACTTGTGTAAAGAAGAAAAGTGTAATCCCGTAAAATCATATTTTACACTACTTTTGCCTAGTTATCGATAAAATAGAGAAAGAAAACGTCATAATTTTACTTAAAAATGTTAGGAAAGTCACGTGACCACCTTAGCCCGTTAACGCTTTAAAGCTTGAAGTACAGTCAGGGGTAATATTAAGTGAACACTCTGAAACAGAACAGTTGCCTTACAAGTGGACCAAACAACTTGAATTTTCATTCATCATCATCAAAGACAGAAGAATTAATTTACGAAATATATATCTTAATTGGAATACGATAAAATAATTGTTTACTATTGTTTCATCCTGCATTTTGAAAATTTTTACTGTTACTTCTCATCTCATTTTGAACTGTATCATAGATTTCGCAAGTGACAATCGTGAATTTATAACAATATTTCTTTATTTGATATAGTAAACAGCACAATTCTGTTTACGGATTTGTTTTTGGCATGAGAAAATCTAGAATCTAGAAGAATCACACAGTGGATATTGCGAGAAATGACTGATTTCGTCGAACTGTATAATTGTTCAATTCTTACACTAAAACTGTTAAGCATACGATTAAAAAGTAAATGTCAACTCTTAATTATTCATTTCGAATGTTCTACAAAACTATGCAATGTACCTGCTTGCTGCGTGTTGAAAACAAACCATCCCGTTTTTTCCTTAGATGGCACGGTGTATGATTCGTCGTCCGGAGAAAACCAATCGACAGGAGTCGTGTTAGTGAAATTGGGATCAGATTCCTGGACATAAGTGATTGGTATCCACCACTTGGTACGGTATTTGTGGAATTTTGAAAACACGATCAGAAAACGTTCCTGTGTCAATTGGTAGCCCTCATCGACTCTCTTAACTGTCAACGTCGGATATCCTGGATATTCCACCCAGTTATGCATTATAACTTGCACGGACTGTTTCCATTTAATCCCACTTTCGTCCAAGGCTTTCTGGAGGGATCCGAAAAGGTCATTCGAATCCGCATTACCCAACGCGCTATAACAGATATTATTATTTATTAATGTGCAAAAATAAAGAAAAAAGTGTATAAATTGAAAAAGGACAGATAAGAGTGGGAGAACTTTGAATTGGAATTGCAAAGAATTGTTTAATTATCGTTCAGAGGTATTGGGTTCGAGAAGAAAATTCATTCCGATTTTTTATAGAAAATTTATAGGCTACGCATTTAAATTTTGGTATACATCTAGTGATTTATTGAATTATGTACGTGCTATTTTGTTCCACATTTTTTCATGCAATTTGTACACTCCATCCCTAAGAATAGTGCAAAGTATGCAGTTGGGCCATTCAATACTACGTAGCTACTTCTCAAACAATCAAGAAAAACTTCGTTTTAATATTTGCTTTAAGGTACATTGCAGGGCACGTTGGTCCTGAACAATTAATCTTTGGAATGAAATTAGTTAAAATTCAGAATTCTATGATTTTTGTTTCACATTGTCACTGTTACTTCATTAAATATCGGCATAATCTCACTGAATAATGACTTTCTAAAGATGCCTGAGATATGACCTTTTAGAAGGTATACACATATCATTTGTTTTCAATCATTCTGATATAATCTTTTACCTCTTAATCCACGTATCAAAAATCGGAACTAACTTTCCGGACAATCCAATACTTGTTTTTCTAATTTTATTTCAATAAAGACTGTTTTATAAACGAATAAAGATATACGTACTGGCTTTTAAGATATAATTTCAAGCCCTTATGGAAAACCTCTTCCGTCATAGCGTGAGACATCATTCGAATAATAGAAGCAGCTGTAAGTCATACAAATAATTATTTGTATTTACTATCGAAGTAAGTGCAATGCAATGTGGAAAGTATACGTTGAAAATTATATAAACAAACAGCAAGGAGTTAATAGCATTCATAATAAAGAGTATGTAAGTGAATGTTGTTTATATTAATTTTCGCAAAGCTTTTGACACAGTCACTCCGTACTGTTTTCTAAATTGTATGCTCATTTTCGGGTATAGTATTAGTTCTGGAACACCCTGTATAGAAAATTGTTTCAATGTCGAACGACTTACAAAGTATCGAAAATGATAATGATATGATTTTTAAATACAAAATAGATTTCTATTTAGATTTCATTTTCTACATTGACATTATAAAAGGAGTTAGATACTTGGGTCGATGTTTCTCAGATATTTAATGCCTAATTGGTACTTGCTATTAACTAGTTAGTACCTCTTCATGAAAACAGAAATGTAATTATGAAAGTGGTCAGCGATTCTGACGTCAGGATGTCACGATCATCTCAGTTTTTCATGACTCTGGACCATATACTTCGATTCTCCATTGATAAAGGTTTGGTACATATTTAGTTTACCCACTATGAATTATTTATTATCTAAATTATCAAAAGAGGAATTGTGGATGCAATATTGCAAGTTTTCTAAAAGCACTTATGAATAAAATATACAATGTTGATTGTGGTATGTACAATGTGGATTCATAGACATTTAATGCTTAATAATCGATAACTTATTATAAGCGATGCTATTTATTTATTTAGACTGTAAACTTTTTGCTTGTCGAGCCCGCAAATTTAAAACGTCTTAACTGATCGATAAGATTAGAAAACGTATCTCGCTAATGAATAAAAAGAAAACCCGCTGCAAATTTGATACCTATCGGTGTCTGTTCCCATATTTCTGTTTATCTGATGTTAAATTAAAAACGTCGTGACTACATTCACCACACAAGTTTATATATCTACTTGTTTTTCTAATCGAAATTAAAATGACATCTTTTATTCATTTTCTTTACCTTTCTCGTGAGCGATGGCGTCGAACGTCTTGAGGAGTTCTTGAGGGGTGATCACGTCCTTATTTATGGGACGTATCATCGGGACCGCATCAGTGACCATCGCGTATCCTTGCATCCTCTCCACAACGAACATATCGTCCAATCGCAATTCAGGTTCTACCTGAATTTCATAATTTCATCAATAGTTGTCGCCTGTTTTGAAAGTTATATCTAGATGTGGTAGATTAATCTTGAATCGATGTAGTTCACTCTTATTATTAAATATAAATTGACATTAAGGTAAATGCTCCAATTTTTATTCGGGTCTCAATTTTTACTCGTTGACTTGTTTTTCTATCATGTCATGGCGTCTAAGAACTAGTTTTCATTTTCAATGCTCCTTAATTTTCCTCCTCTTAACGCAATTACGCAATTATTGAATAAGACAATATGGCCATTACAAGGAAGGGCATGTACTGGCAGTTCCTATGAGCTGCGTAATAATGTACCTTACTTCCACCATGATAGCAATAGCTGAATAAACAAATGACACTGCCCCAACATTTATAAATTCCATGTGAAGAAACATAGCAGTAAAAGTCTGCTTAAAAAAGGATTAGAGTATCGTATTTACTTTGTGAGCAATGAAGTATTGGAAATATTTGGCGAATCCTTCGTTCAGCCAAACATATTTCCACCATTTCGGGCTGACAAGATTACCGAACCATTGATGAGTGAACTCGTGAGCGATGTTCGTGAGTACATCCATCTTCGTGCGGGTTGCATTTAAAATTTCGTCGTAAAGAAGATTACTTTCACTGAAATAGAAATTCGAGTTCAGAGGTGTGCAGCCTTGTTATTAACGACTAGATTCAGCGAAAAGTGACCACTATAACATTTACACTTTTTATCTAAAATAGCGTTACATTAAAACATTCTATTATTTGAATAGTATACTATTTCTTATTATAATACTGTAGGTAACGGTACCAACATTTTTTTACTTATACATATATTTACTTGTCCATAATGAAATTTATTTAACGATTTAGTATGATGTAAACATAATACTTGAAATGTTAAATTATAAGTAAATATTAAAAACTTGAAAACTTGAACGTTGATAATATGCAACGCGTTCTACCAGAAAATTAGAAAATCAACCATTATTAATACTGCGGGCTTTTATGCAAAATAAAACATTTGTTTTGTCAATTTAAGAAATGAAATCTATATAGATTGAGAATTCTTTCATCCTCCAAAAATAACGATGTGTATTAAACATTCTACGTACTTCAGACTTTTGTATGTTGCACTCATTCTTTATATTTCTAGCACACTTAATATTTCTATGTATCTATAAAATCCACTGTCTATTAATAACAATAAATTAGCATCCCGCGATTCGATCGTACAATTTGATAGAGTGATTGATTACAAGAAGCGGAAATCCTTAGTATTTTCTTAAATTGATACTAAGTATTTCCTCATCTCTGTATCGCGAACTTTCGTTAGACCGTTAATCCCATCGGGAAAGCAATCTGTATTTCAAACCCGTCACGTCAGATCGAGAAGCAATAAAACCCGTTGCACTTTGATCGTGATGGTCATCACTTCTAAGTACCTGTAAATTACGAGGCCCCAGTTCTCCATGGCAGTGTTTAGGAAGAAACTCTTTACCGCGACTTGATCTATTTTATCTGGCATGTATGTCTGGTACGAAATATTCGTGTACGAGTTCAGCTGTTCTAGAAGCTTCCTACCCATTTTCAAAGCGTAGTCAGTCTGATTTATCGTGCTCGCCTTCGTCCACACTCTATAAGTGAAGTTGCCTACTCTATCTTCCTTAAATTGATAATTGCTTAGAACGAATGCTACTAAGTAAGTAGACATCAATGGGGTTTCTTTGAATGAAGTGGTCATCATGCCATCTTTTTCTTCTTTTTTTAGTACGTCCATATTAGAGATCGCCTGCAGTGTTTTATTATGCGTCAAAGTGATGTTGAATTTTGCCTTGTAGACGGGCTCGTCCCAACAGGGGAACGTTTGTCGAGCTTTCGTCGGCTTAAAATGAGTTGTTGCGACGTGCTCGCTGGAATGAAAGAAAAATTGGGTTTTACTTAACTCGCACGGAGATAGATAGTAATTTGTCAAAAAACAGATGAGATTATCTGTCGTATGTGACATTGAATAAAACGCTTAAATCTATCAAAATGAAAAGTAATTAAGTATCCAAAAAATGCTTTGAACTGACATTTAAAAAAATTCAAGGAGTATCTGACAAAATCTGAGTAAATAAGAGACAGGCATAAGTACAGTAGGTCCCATTTATATTCGTATCTATTTCTGAATTGAATGAGTTTCTTAACATAGTAATTAACAATTTAATGTTTTTTCGCTTAGTCTGCTATGTACGATAAATGATTCGATTTCTATTCAAGTCCTCACTTCTACTCATTGACGAATTTTCATAGAATTCTGTATGTGGCATTACATTTTTTTAATGTATTATGTTATCTGTTTTCTTGGGGACTTTTACGAAATTTTTGTTACACATTAAATAATTATTCCATTTTCTATTCACTATTTTTCTATAATTTTATACGTCATCTTAAAATAAGCCAGTAATTACATGAACATAAACAGAAATTAGTACATTTATCTTAATGTGTAACAAGAAATTGCTATTCTTCGAGTCTCCACAAAAATTTTGAAAGAAGCTTTTTGTATAATATTTATATGCATCGTATTGAATTTGATAAAAATCGGTTACAGTTTTACTAGCTATAAGTTGTCAGGATTTTGAAATTTCCCACATTAATAACTAATTATGTAATACTAGCTGATAATTATCCGGCGTTGCCCGGGTGTTTATTTTCCCAACCTTCTATCATTCAGAAGAAGTGAGAGATGAACGCTTGTTAGTACCGTGTCGATCAACGGTGATCGGTTCTATTATACGACTTGAACCAATAGAAAAACAAAGTTTGTATACAATTTATATCGAGAGGTGAACCAAGTTTGAACGCCAGCTCTGTTTAACGATTTTCGAGAACGCTTGAATTATCGTCAATCTCACACTCCGTGTGATTTTGTTGGGTCTCATAACAATAATCGAATCGTCGAAATCTGGAACATATTCAGGAATCCTGAAATTCTAGAAAATTCGCCTCGCCGATTCTCGATATTTTCCGGTTCTCGATACTTTCCGGTTTCTCTACTAAATATCATTCCATAAACTGATTCCTATAACTTTTATCGTACATAAAACTCTCATTCCCTAATCTTTAACATTATATTAATTAATTTGACATTAAATTTATTTTTGATTCGTGTTAAGTCAGTTAATTTTGTTATACTCATAGAGTATATTTTATATATTGTATTTTGTTATGATATTGTTATCTCCCTTATTTTTAAGTTTATATTTTTGCCATCTAATGTTAATATCTCAAATTTGTCACACTTCTCTTGTTTTTCTTTATATATTCCAAAGAGCTTATGCTCGTTAATAATAATAGTAACTATAGCAATGATGATGATACTACTACTACTACTACTACTACTACTACTACTAATAATAAATCAGTCTTACGTGACACCATCCGTTTGCACGAGCCTCTTATAAATTCCTGTCGTATTGTCTCTCGAAACTCCAACGAATTGTATCTGAAGCGAGTAGTGATGATCCTTTTCAAACCGGGGTTTTATTGTGATGTTCAAAATCTCGTGACTTTTGTCCACTAGGTACTTATTCCACAAAGTATTTGTTGTATTCAAATCCACGAACTTAACGTCGTAGATGAACAAGTATTTTGAATTCAGCGTCAAGGTATCGCTGGTGTTCAGCGCTATTAATGTGATGTCCACTTCACCGTCAAATGTGATTCTCCCCAAATTAGGTTTGAGATGCAATTTGTATGCGATCGGCATCACTATGTCGGACGGCAACCTGTATCTTAAATCCGCTTCGCCGACGGTATTCTCGAGCTGGAAACTCGCCTGGCAGATCCCCAGAACGAGGAGACACGTTACGAAAGTTCTCATCTTTTTAGATTCGCTGGCTGCGTTCAGTATCCAGCATCCACCGCTGTTTTTTAGTTTATAATTGCTGTTTAATGAAATATTATTACTACCGAGAACACTTCACCTTTTAACTGGGATGAATTTACGACTCTTATCTCTTTAACTGTTATATATGTACAATTTGCAAGTATTTATCAGTGTCCCGTTAGAAAATAATAATTTTAACTAGCAGCTAGTACTGGCCGGAGAATCGCGCGTTTACAAATTTAATCTTGTTTTCGTTGGCTTGATAACGTGGCTTGCGAACGAGCGAAGATAGAAATTCGGCTACCGCAACGAGGACGTATTTGCACGTCGGCGGGCGACGTACGACAGACCACATTTACAGACGTTCCTGATTTATAAGGTCGCTGCGGTGGGGCAATTATCGAAATATTCTTGAATTTCGCAGTGTGATCGATCGACGGTATGCCGATCGGTGACATCGCGAGCGGCGTAATTGTATCCGTTATGTAGTAAAATCATGCTTTCGTCGTTGTAAATGAGACGCTGATAGTCATCTATTTTATTAGACGCATTCGGTGAATTTTATGGAGAACGTAATACATTTTATATAGGTTGAAGTCGACGGGACACCAAAAATTCCTTCTTTTGTACAAATTTTCCCATGCATATCTCACTAATCTATTTTTATAACTTCCGGGCAGAATTATGTCGCGTATCACTAAATCATCCCTTAGCCTGATTTGATGTTTGATGGGACGACGATAAATATTATCGCAGCCGGCCAACATTATATGTGAAATAAATAGATTTCGTCTGTTCTCCAATTTGTATATCGTACTTACTGGCTATTGAAACGTTGTTTGGATTTATCAATGATGTTGGAAGAACTAAATTGATTAAATCGGTTTAAGAGCATCGCTCGGCCGTTATGAATTCTTTAATTCGCGAGTTGAATAGTAGTCGGCTATAAGAAACGGTGTAACGCTTTTTTAGTCGATCGAGCGATCGCGAATAGAAAAAAGGATCAACACCGCCGGTCCTTGACGATTAGGTAGACGCCAGTACACGTGTATCGTGAATTTGTGCCCGAATTCTCAGAAAGTTACATAATCGGATAACGAAGAAAGATAATTTGAGGAAAAAGGAATAAATATTCGCCGATTACGTCGCTTAGCAGAAATGTAGTTTTCTTAGTGAGCAAGAGCCGAAGTCCCGCCCTTGTCGGGAGTATACTATTTAGAAGTACGCATCGTCTCAGATGCCTTCGTCTCGATTAGACACATACCTTCGCCTCCAAATTAAATGCATGCAATTTTTCTCCGTTAACTTTCGATTTCGAGATCCCTCAATCGACGCTACGGAACAGCACATTTAGATTCCATATATTTTCTTCCACCGGACGAAGGATTACCGTTCGTTTCGGCCATTATCGCTGTTTTTAGCTAAGAAAACACGGTACGTCCATTAGTGGACGTGCTATCGTTACGGACGCTCCGGCTCGACATATCCAATCGTTGTCTGACCGCTGATCGGAAACCATGTCCTCGTATTGGACCTGTAGCAGGTTTTGGTAATGAATCAGCCGATGACCTACTGGTACAGTCAAATTAGGTTTTCAAAATATAAAAATTAAAATACAGCAATTTTCCAATTTTACATGGTTCAAATAATAGTATTGCTGAGGCTGGTAATAAAATAATTCGATTATTATACAGTAGTAAAAATGAAGAAATGTCGTTGAATTCTTTAAGATATTTACTGTTTAAAAGATCATCGATAAAATCAACTTTTAAACTTAACCCTTTGAATACTTCTGGCGCCTATTGGCGTCCGAAACATGTTGGCTTCCCAGTACTGTAGGCGCCAATTGGTGTCCAAATCAAATTTCGCTTGTTTCGCCTATTTTAAAATTTTATAATTGGTCTTATGGTAATGGAGACCTCTAATGGTAATGTAGATTATCTATTTCAGTTAACTTATTTTGATTCACAGCCACGAGAGGCGCCTATAGGAGCTAGCGAAATTTTATCGATCATAATTGTAATAAATCTTATTTGAAACAGACGTAAGTTAATGTTAATTCAACAATTACATATTCCGTTAGTCGTATATTAATTAAATAATAGCTTTTGATTATTAAAAAAGAGGAACAAAATTTAAAAAGACATTTTCGATTAGTTAAATATTATGTTGTCGGCTGATGATGATATTCTTGAGATCATCATCTAGCCAGATAATTCTATGAATTGTCTTTAAAAAAATAATAAATATTTTACCAATGAAAAAAAGTAATTTTCTAGAAGATAACGTCAAGAAGGACGTTACTTCATATTACTATCAAGTTAAGTAAATCTGTTTATTTTCAGTTGTTTTTTTCCTTGACTCTTAAAATGAACAAGAGGGATAATAAAAGAAAAACAAGTAAAGAAATCGCCAATAAAAGTACATCTAAGCGTGTTTTAACAAATGATTCATGTTCTGATTCTGAGGAAACTAGTGATTTTGAAGTTCCTTTGTACAAACGTATGACTAAAAAATGTCGTGTCATATCCTCTTCATTAGAGACAATAGTGAGTACAGTAGCTATACCAGAACCAAAGCAATCGAAACGTAATAATGAATTTTCCTGGACTCAGAAAGTTTTCAAACCTGTAATTCATAAATTTAATAACAATAACAGTGGAGTTAAAGCAAATATAAACAGGAAATCATCTATTCTCCATATTTTTCAAATTTTTATTTCGGAAGAGCTTATAGGATTCATTGTTGAATGCAGTAATAAATATGATGAAAATGGCACAAGAAGCAATGTACATAATTTTGCAGCAACTACAATTCCCGAAATATATAATTTTTTGGCCGTTACTATGCTAATGTCACGAGTACGTAAAGTATCTTTATCAGAATATTGGAGTAAGGACAAGCTGATAAGAACAGTCATTTGGTGAAATAATGTCAAGGGATCGATATATATTTTTACTAAAGATCCTGAATTTTTGTGACAATAACATTGAAAGTGGTGATCCAATCAGGAAAATACGTCCAATCCTTGAAAAATTGAAAACATCCTTTAAAGCAGCATTTTATCCATTTGAAACGTTATGCGTAGATGAAAGTCTATTGTTATTCAAAGGAAGATGTTATTTTAAACAATATATACCGTCAAAAAGAAGCAGGTTTGGGATTAAATCCTTTGTCTTGTGTGATTGCCAGACAGGCTTTGTTCAAGATTTGATTGTATATTGCGGAGCCAACATGATAATATCTGAAGATGTACCGTCAACATCGATAGGAAAGTCTGGCCAGATAGTAATGAAGCTTTTAGAACCGTATCTTGGAAAGGGTCATACACTCGTGACAGATAATTGGTACAGCAGTCCGAGTTTGTTCTTACTATTACATAGAAACATAACTAACGCATATGGAACAGTAAGAAAAAACAGATTGGGAAAAAATAGGTCGGAATTAGATAAAAAGATAAACAAAGGAGAATGCATATTTCGTTCAGAAAAGAATGTATTAGCGTTGAAATGGATGGACAAAAGGGAAGTGTGGATGATTTCCACCTATCATTGTCCCAATATGATTGAGACCGACAAGATAAACTACGTAACGAAAGAAAAAATAGTAAAATCGCAATGCATACTTGATTATAATAAAACAATGGGAACAGTTGACAAAGTTGATCAAGTTTTATACATTCTAAATTCTACCAGGAAAAGCTTAAAGTACTACCTGAAGCTGCAAGTGCTCAGCAGCATTCATACAGAACAGATTTAGAAATTCAACAGTGGCTGAGAAATTCAAAATAACCTACGAAATGGGGATGGAAAGCAACAAATGTGGGCCTACAACCGCTTCACACAGATGATCTTATTCCACAAAATTTATTACAATATATTTCATATAAATGCACAACCGGTTGCAACACGATGATCTGCAGTTGTAAGAAATACGATCTTCGATGTTCAGATATTTGTTTCAACTGTCATGGGCAGTTTTGCTCAAATATCGAAAAGATTTTAACGTATTGAAATAATTTTCATTCAGTCGATTTTGTGCAGAATAACTAATACACCCTTTCGGAGTTATTTTCTTTGCTTTTTTTACGGAGATCGTCACTAGGACAAACGCGACGACGTGTTCTTTTCTTTGTATAGTATTTTTGAACGCGGCCGAGTTACTGGTCGCGAAAATAAATCTTTATTTTTCTAATTCTAATTGGAATTCTATGTATATCGTGTCATTATTCTGCGTACCCCACTTCTTCTCGACTCCAGACTCCCATTAGGCTATTTCTTAACAAATGATAATTTATAAAATTTCATTTAGTATTTAAAGGGGAGAAATATGAATGCGTGAAACAAGAAACAGCAATTATACTGTACAATAGACAATTTGTTTCCAGTACCCATTAAATGATTCTCCCCGCGTTCAGCTCATTCGTAAATAGTTTCAAATTTTCCTGATCATAGTTCACGCGATAGTAGCCTGACGATACAAAATTACGTTTACTATTCTGCTCGAAAATACCGATTAATTTTCTATTATTATAAGAATATACAACGAACTTTATTCCCTCTTTTACAAAAATATGATATAGCACTGGGCCATAGATTTGATTTTTAGA